CAGTCCCAAAAGACTTAGGGCAAAAGGACATTCAAAAAATAAATGAGTAGTAGTTTCATGCATTATAGCAATGTGAACATATAGAGGTGATAACAACCCTTTTTTTTTACGAAGAAGGTCCTCATAGGGAAGTTTATCATGCATAAGCCTCCATAGAATAAAAGATTTGGAAGGGGGAGATGATGATTCCAAATCTGTTCAGCCCAGTTAAGCTTAGGCTTAGGTTGTCTAATAAAAGAAAAAGTCCCTTTAAAAGATAAATCTCCATTAGAGGAGAGAGACAACTTAAGAGAGTCTTCATGCTCAAAGGAAGGAAGGACAATGCTAGTGATTTGGTTACCAATCCTACTTTAAAGAAAGGAAGGAAGATGCCAAGATTGGTTATGAATGAAACAATCGACAATGGATGTCAACTTGGAGCGTAAGAAGGCATCAACATTAAGAATATCAACAATAGGCATTGAAAACCACCTATCTGTCTATAAACTAACCTTCTTACCATTTCCAATAAGCCATGTAGAATTAACCTTAACAAATGGATACATATCTCATATAATAGCCAAATACTGGATGCCAAATAGTGAACAACTTCACCATTTCTCTTATAAACTCTACTGGCTAGGACAGAAGCTGAATCCTTATTTTTTTTTTTGACAAAATTCCAATATAGTTTTAACATATATGCATTATTGATATCAGCAAGGGATATGATACCAAGGCCGCCTTCATCTATATTAGAACAAACAATGTGTCATGGTACAATTTTTTTTTTTGGCTTTTAAATAGAATGTGAGTTGAGAGAGTAAACATCTTTAGCTCTACTACCTTCTAGAATTGAAGATTCTAAGTCTTGATCTATTAACCTTTAAGCTTGTTTTTATGTTTTTTTGATTATTTTCTTAGGGAGAACTATTATGAAATGTGTGAATAATCCTTTTTTTTTTTTTTTTTTTTTAGAATTGGATATTGATGTTCATCAAGCCATACTGTTGGCGTATAGCTCAGTGCTACTTTTGGAGGAATCTTGTTAAATGTCGCTTGACCAATAATCTATTCTTAATCTTTTATAGTTTTTGAATTACCGCCTACAAAACCTACGGGAAGACAATGGTTAGGAACATTTGACACAGCAGAAGAAGCAGCTAGAGCTTATGATCGTGCAGCCATTGGTTTGAGGGGTGCTCTTGCAATCCTTAATTTTCCTAATGAGTATTATCCTCATCTCACTTTTCTATCATCAAATTCTTCTACTATGGTAATTGCAACTTCACCACGGAAGGAAGTTATTGAGTTCGAGTGTTTGGATATATAACAAGGTGTTGGAAGACCTTCTTGAGTCAGAAGAAGAGAGAAGCAACAAAGACTAAGAACTGAAATTTCGACTATTCCCATTTATTGAGTTCCTCTTTTTTTTTTTTTTTTTTTTTTTTTTTTTACCAACTTGATGTGAAACTATTGAATATTGATATACATACGTTTTTAACATAAAAAGCAAACAAACGCTTAAAGAGAGGAGTTCTAACGTTCTAACAAAATGTGAGAAAATACATTATTATTGTTCAACGGTGAAAACCAATAACATATTGAATAAAAATCAATAATCAAGGAGTTTAACATTGAAGAATATAATGAGAAAAAAATAATGTCGATGATGATGAAAAATGACGAAAAGGACATAAAAAATGAGAGGGAGAGATGATGAAGGAGAATAAATCTGGGTCATATAACCATATATATTCAAGATAGTTAAAATTATTATATTAACGATTCATTTTAAGAGAAAACATAAAAAGAAAAAGACATGATGATTGAAGATGAGTGTGAAATGGGTTGGTAAAAAAAAAACTCACATTAACAAAGGAAGGGTAGAAGAGAACTTGTGCACGGTTGTTGAGAACATCAACGACGGCTTGGCGGATTCCGGGAAGGCGCTTGACGGCTTTCTCGACGGAGGCGGCACAGGCGGAGCAAGTCATTCCGGTGACCGAGAAAAGTGCTTTGGACGATACGTTGCTGCTTCCTTCTTCTTCCGTCACGCCCTTTGGGTATCGAGGCATGGACGGGTAGTGAGGTCTCGGCCCCTCACTGTTACGTAAACATGCTAACGCTAAAAACTTGGTCGCCATTGCCAACCCAAAACCCTAACTAACTTCTCTTCCTCTCTCACCCTTTTATGCTTCCATTTTAGGTTTCATAATATATCCTCCATTCAACCTTTCATTTTAATATAATATTCATATAATTGGACTCATTTCATGTAGACTTCATTTAAAATATGACGGACGGAATCTGTTATTCCATTCCAGTATCTTCTTCCTCATCTCTATTCATATATATATATATATATGGGATTTGTTTGCACTCGGAATAATTCTACCTAGACTTACTTCATTCAATAACTCATGTTTTACATTAAATTTTAACGATCCAACCGTTGAATTTACAGCTATTAATACATAGATTAAGTTTGTAAATTTTGTAAAAATTTAAAAATTAATATTTTATCTCATCAATTCAAATGGATGGATAATCATAATATCATTTTATCCATGGCAAAGTTAAAGAAAAATCGAAATTTTACACTTCCTCGCGAAAGCTAAAAATCAAGTCAATATAGGAACAAACAAAAAATAAAACCTAGAACTTGACCCAATTTTTACATATGTAATCTGCCTATATATACATACACATGAAAGGCATAAACATAAGTGGCCTCACCTCACAGTTAAGAGTGAAAAGAGAAGTAGAAATATTATGGAGACTGTTTCAAAATAGGTAACAATAACGTATGGAGGAGGCACATAAAGACAAAGAGAGAGAAGGGGAAGAAGTGAGGTACCGTGGTGTGAGAAAGAGGCCATGGGGTAAGTATGGTGCAGAAATTAGAGACCCTACAAAACCTACGGGAAGACAATGGTTAGGAACATTTGACACAGCAGAAGAAGCAGCTAGAGCTTATGATCGTGCAGCCATTGGTTTGAGGGGTGCTCTTGCAATCCTTAATTTTCCTAATGAGTATTATCCTCATCTCACTATATATATATATATATATATATATATATATATATTATTGAGTTATATTTATGTGAGGTTTAGTAACTTTTATTTTTATTTATTTTAATTTTTTTTAATGAAGTCAACACGAAATAATTAAGTTCTCAACAATGAAAAGTTTGTAATTTTTTTATACTAACTTGTACTAAGTACATGATTGATTATTTAATGATATGAGATTAAATATCTCACCAATACCTTAAACTCGTTTTTTTTCTTCATCTTTATATATAAGATTAAGATTACCAGAATAAGTACTTTATCATAATTATTTTTCCTAGACATCTAAATTAATATTATTATTGATAAAATAAGTTTAATAAAATAATTGTTAACTAACTCTTCCTTTTTCTTATAGTATATTCCCTTCATTTTAAATTGATCGATATTTAAGAGTTTTTCATACATATTAAGAAAAAAAAAAGATAATTTAACTATTGAAACAATTATATTAAAATATTATTATTATTTTTCTCAATTTTTATATGTACATTATTAATTATTAGCTAAAAGACAATAGTATTTATTTGGTGTCAAAATTAAGATAATTGATTTTAGAATTTCTTTAAAAATTAAAAACGTCACTCAATAAAAATTTTAAAATATTAAAACGTGTATCAATTTAAAATGGAGAAAATGTTGATAATAATATAAAATAAAATTATGTCAAAGATCGCAAAAAGTCAATAGAACAAGTATTCAATTCATTTAACCTAAAACAGTTTTTAAAAAATTAACAGAGAATCTGTCCAAAACTAATAATGAACCAAATTGACTATTATTCTATTGTTTTATTTTTAATTAAACAAAAAAAGTAAGAAAGAAATTCTAAAGTCAAGTTGTAAAAGTCTACGTACGAGATTTACGTGTAAATTATTATTATTGTTATTTAACATCTTATCATTAATTTTTTTTTAATTTTACAAAGCATATGCCGAGAAAAAGAGCATTGTGTAAAAAAAAGAAGAGAATATGCTGTTATTATTTTACTTAATTTAATTCGTATAATTAATTAATTAGTTATATATATTAAATACAAACAAAAGAGCATTTTTAATTTTTTTTTATTGAAAACATTTTAAAATTTCTCTTAACTTAAAAAAATTTAATTTTAATTTATTATACTTATTTATGAGTTAAATTATAATATTTTAAAAATAAATTATTAATAAATAAAATAATCTTATGTTACAATATATTATTTATAATAAATTCAAAATATAATTTATATATTTTAAAAAAATTATTTTTACAAATTTTAAATATAATTTATATATTCGAACAAAATATTTATTTGTATGTATAATTTATTGTAAAATTTAATTACATAATAAATATTTTACAAACTAAAATACTAATTTTATATATACTTGTAATTAATAAATTACCCAATAAAAAATATATTAAATTATTAACAAGTCAACTCTATCTAAATTAATGAATGATAAATGAATATTAATTTTTAAATATTGGTACCAATGATTTTATAGGAATGTTTCTCTTTTTATACTTTTATTACCATTCATATAACATTATCACTTTTATTAATCAAGCATATACTTTTATTCACAAACAAATACTTAAAAAATAAAATAAAAATAACAATAAATACGTTGAAATGACAACAACACTTGGGGTATGATATCATTGACATGCCACAATATGCTCCAGACAACACTAATTGTTTAATGATTCATATTTATGTTTTTGGTCATATAAGGCGTCATCAATAAAATAGATATACATAGACAATGATAAATCCAGGTTGGAATCGAACTTATCCTATGCAGGTCGTTTTCATTTTCAGGAAATAATATACCACAAGAAATTGCAATAATACGTGAAATTAATAAAAAGTAGAGCCAGTGCATTAAAACACAAACATGTGGTTGAATGGGTCCCACCTCTCTCTCTAACATGTATTTTTCTCTCTCTTTGTCAGATATTACTTTGTCTGTTCTAGCAGTAGTATTTTGTCTGCGCTCCCAAGCATTCATTCAGTGTACAGAATTAACGTTACCCTTTTGGTTTTGTCTTCCTCACCAACTGGATTTGTCTAGTGTTCATGTTTGGATATCTGATGAGCCTATGTTTGGTTTTTGGTTCTGTGGCTGACACCAAACTGATACTTCTGATTCTGCTGAATACACTTTTGGGTGATAAGTACCAGGTTTTGTGACCGTTAAGGTGAGGCTTGGTTTTCAATTTCATTCAGAAGTTCTTGAATTTGTATTTTTCAATTTTAAGTTTGAGATCATTGTATGAGTTGAACATTTTTCTAATCTTATGTGGTACTGGTTTTGCATTCAAATATTGATTTTATGCAAAAGCTTTGCCTTGACCATTTTGAACCATTGTTTGAGTTTGGCTGAAAAGCAATAGGCTCGATTGCATCCGTTAAAGATGGGATGAGATAAGGATGAATGACCATCAAGGTCTAACATAATTGATAATGATTCAATTCGATTCCCCCATTCATGTAGAAGATTTTGTTGGGAGAGACAAAATCTACTTCAGTGATTTATCCTTCACTTTAAAAGGAATTAGTCTCTGAATTGTAAATAGTTGGATTTCTTAAGCACCAAGATGGGATTCGATTCGATTCCCTAGTCATGCAAAAGACTTTGTTGGGAGAGACTAAATCTGCTTCATAAATTTTTGCTACACTTTAAAAGGAATTAGTCTCTGAATTGTAAATATCTGGTTTCTTTAGCATGCTGATAAGGATTCAATTCAATTCCCTAGTTATGCAGAAGACTTTGTTGGGAGTAGGCATGAATTTCATGAGATTTAGTTTCAACTTTTGTGTGTGTTCTGGTAATTACACAATTTCACGTTATGTTGCATGCGTTTCCTGGTGTTTTTCAAGGGTAGAGTAACCGAGGAGGTTATTGAACTGAGCAATAAATGGCTTCAACTGGGTTTGATGAAGATGGTGATAACAGAGTCGGTATTTGGGATTTGGATAAGAAGATTGACCAGCCAATGGATGAAGAAGGTGAAAGGCTCAAAAATATGTTCAGAGAAAAAGTATGATGCAACTCCAAGCACTCTTTCTCATTTCTTGATGAATGCAGTTCTGTTTATTTGGGGAACTGCAATTTGTTATGTATCAATATCATATTCAATTAAAAAGAAATTGTGATTAATGTAGCTATTTCTAGTCTTTTTCTGCAGCCTACTACTCCTTGAATGTAGATATCATATTTTTATCTTGAATAACAAGGCATTCAGTACTCAATTCATTGTTGGAAATTGTGAATGTTGCTTAGAATTTTGAATGTAGAATGTACAATTTTGATTTACCACTTTTTCTGGTCAATTATTTTTCAAGCACTTAATTTATATTCTGAGTTTTAGCAGTAGTGCTGGACCAAGTCTCCCAAATGTTTAAAGCTTAGATGGAAGCAAGTAAAATTGTGAATGGCTTTATATCTTTAACAAAATTCCTTATGTAAGAGCCATTTGAACTTGGTGCGTGGACAAAACTCGGGCTATTAGGTGCACTTGAATGGTTTTACATTTTTAACAACAGTTGTATTTTATTTGCACAAGGAAAACCTTTTACTTTAAGTTACATTCTGGAGCATGGATTTGAAACTGTTAATCTCATTTCAAATTTAAATACTTACAAGAAATTCAAGTCCATATCTAAATGCTGAGTAGACTAAGAAATCCATACTTTTTCATGTCTGTTAAGTCGCTATATTTTGAATTTTCAACTGGGATTTCTTCATTCTCTAATTCTCATATACAGGTTCGAAATATATTATATTAGCTCTTGAATTTGGTGAATAATTTCTTGTTGTTTTGATTTATTCAGAAGCTTTCTACACTGTTGCTTTTGCGGCTTGCATATCAGAGTCTTGGTGTAGTTTATGGAGATTTGGGCACTTCCCCCTTGTACGTTTTCTATAACACGTTTCCTCACCGAGTTAAAGAGCAGGAGGATGTGATCGGAGCTCTTTCTTTGATTATATACTCTCTTACGCTGGTGCCACTGCTCAAATATGTTGTCATTGTATTAAGAGCAAATGACAATGGTCAAGGTATTTACTTTATTTTGGTAATTAAGATATTTATAGTTGGACTGAATATATCCTAAGTAATGATGTATTATAACTTTAAGCTGTCTCAAATAGCTTCATTTACTATCTTAGTGATATTTTCTGGAGATTCCCACACAATACATTCTGTATAGCTCATCCAAATCTGAATAGGGATGTATATCTTAATATCAGAAAATTTCCCCTTCCTTTATGCCTTTCCCGGATAAGTGATAGAATTTTGTTGTGCACAATTACAATATCTTGTTGGTATATCTGTTACATAGTTTAGTCTAGAGTGAATTGTACTTGTACTTGAGATTTTATGAGAAAAGCACCCTGCTATTTCCACATATGGCATAATTGATAGATGTATCTGTTGACACTGTTGAGTTGCTACTGAATTTTACTAGACTAACATCTGTGGTGCAGGTGGAACATTGGCTCTTTATTCCTTGCTCTGTCGACATGCAAACATTAAAACCATTCCCAATCAGCATCATACAGATGAACATCTAACAACATATAGTCGATCAACCTTCCATGAGAAGTCATTTGCTGCTAAAACCAAGAGATGGTTAGAGGAGCAAGCTTATATTAAAAATGTCATTCTTATTCTTGCACTTGTTGGTACCTGCATGGTGATTGGAGATGGTATTCTTACACCAGCTATATCTGGTATGCCTTCTGTCAAAACCTGATCCTGTTCCTATTTATTTTATTTTATTTTTATGTTTCTGTAAGTGTATATTTTTTTTTCTGTTTACTCAAGTACTAGGTCGGTCAACTGATTTATGTGCTTCATTATTTTTATATGCCAAAACGTGCGTTTACCAAACTGTGAAGGGAAACCATAAAATCATTTTATGTGGTGAGATAAAAGGACGGTGATTTTAATATAATTTGATTCGATAGTAATTTGAATGACTTTATTAGATTATCTGGTCGTGAGAATCTAATATAGGTGGTCAGTTAAGTTTTTCAACAGAGATTAAAGTTATTAAATATCTTGTGTCAATAATATGATTAGAAATAGATTACTTGGCCTTGAATGACTTAAGCAACAAAGATGTATTTAAATGAAACTTGGAATGACATAGGATACATGATCTTAGTACATTATTTATTAAGATTGTTTTTTCCTTTCCCTTTGAATTTAGATGGTTAAATGATTTAGAAATTAATTTCATTTAGTTCATATACTTATTAGCTTCATGTATGTTGTATTGCCTATGGCTACAAATAAAATGATTCAGCTTCAATTCACTTTCTTTTGTTGCTTTAGTATCATCTTAAATACACCTCTAAGAATTCAAGATATTAATTACAAGATCTTCTATTGTAGTTTTATCTGCTGTTGGCGGCATCAAGGTTAATCATGCTGATTTGAGTAACGGTATAGTCCTACACCTGTGACAGTGCATTTTTCTACCATTATGTGTTTAAGTAATATAGTTTCCACTTCAACCATTTTATGATCTTGATCTTGAAAAGATTTTTTTCCCCCGAGTTACAGGAGTAGTTGTGCTGGTTGCTGTTGTAATATTAATTGGGTTATTCAGCATGCAACATTATGGCACAGATAGAGTTGGTTGGCTCTTTGCTCCAATTGTACTTCTTTGGTTTCTCCTAATTGGAGGTATAGGTATATTCAACATCTGTAAATATGGCAGCAGCGTTCTGAAAGCTTTTTCACCTGTGTACATATACCGGTATCTAAAACGAGGAGGTAAAGAAGGTTGGACTTCCCTTGGTGGAATTTTGCTCAGCATAACAGGTATCTTTAGTTTTGTAACTGTTTATTTATTCCATGTTTTTCATAATTGTTAATTAATAGAAGTGAAAGTTGGAATCTTAATGATCTTTGATAAAATACCAAATAAGCACAAAACCCATTACATTAGATTATCAAGCTTCATAAGTGTTAAGGAATACTTGGATCAATTGCTGTTAATCAAGAATTGCAGCGTAATTAATCATGAACAATTATCACGAACTATTGGTTTAATAGTTTTCCTCAACCAAATCAATAGAGTTCTCCAAGTAGGATTTAATGTTTCTCTTCCAATGGGGGAGAATGAGAGACATAACAATATCTTAGATTTTAATATATTATGGTTCTCATTATTTCCTATGGAACCACATTGGGTTTCCAATTATTAATCCCATATCAATTTTTTTGTTAACAGTCTAATGAACTCATTAAATCACTTATATTGAGTCCATCTAAATATAAATAAATGGTATAATATGTCACTCTTATTAATTAATTACAAATATAAATTTTTTTAATAATCTCTCCACTTGAACTTAATATTAACGTTGAACACAATTTCTTAAGTGGGCAACAATATAGTATTTACTTTTAGATTTCCATTAAACAACTTGGTCCATCGCATAACTACAGGTAACCATTGCAACTTTCATCAAATTTCAATGTGACTAGACCATAATAATTGCCATAGTAACATATACTTAATAACAAATAAAATATGGATAAATGACGTGAAAATTACATGTAATGTGATTTTAAGCATGCCTATTTCTAATGAGTTCAAACTTTAGTCTTTTTTATAAAGATCAATCTAAAATACTTTGTAAACACTGTGCAAAACAAGCTATAAAATGATAAACATCAACTTTATTTATGTAGAAAATTTAAAATACTATGCAATTATTGCAAAAACAAGCTATAAAATAATAATATACTGCATCTTGAATAATAAATAGCTATGAGGACTTGAACACTATCAATGAAGTAGTCTTTCTCAAAGACAACATTTCTTATATTCTCTTCCTTTCCAAACTCAACTTCGTAAGAAGTCTTGCATTTCTATTTATCTCGAAAAAAAGATCCTCAAGTGAGATTGTAAAGCTTATAGCCTAGAGAGCATTCAACAAGCCAACAATTCTTGAATCCAACTTTCTTTCATGTGGCCTATAAGGTTGTGCCTTGGTTGGACATCCCAAATGTTTAAAGGCTTGAGACTTGACTTCCTATGAGGTTTCGTTAATTGCTTTACTTGTACCCTATTAAAGATGTAATTTACAGTTTTTATAGTTTCTCTCCAAAGTATCTCTGACAAAGAAAAATGACTAATCATATTTTTCACAATATCCTTAAGAGCCCAATTTCTTTGTTCTCCTACACCATATATGTTATAATGTATTGTAGAACAATTTCACACTGAGGTAAAGTGCAAAAAGTCTTGAATGTTATTCTCTTTACCTATCATATCTACCATAGTATTTATCACCATGGTTCAAGTTGATAACCTTAATTTTTTTTTTTTCCAAGTTGACGTTCAACCTCAACCTTGAAAAACATAAAAATGTTTAAGGATTGAGGCTTCTCGAGTACCAAATATAGGTACTTGTATCTAGAGGACTCATTTATGAACATAATGAAATATTGTTTTCCATTTCAAGAAACCATATGGAAATGAAACATGTCTATGTATTAGTTTTAAGATGTCTTTAACTCTTTCAGCATCTAATTTCTTTGTGTTTGTTCGTTTTCCCTTAATGCATTTAATATAGAATTTAAAGTTTAGTAAATTTAAGGGTTCAAAATTTCACGCAACACAAGTCTTTGAATTCTTTGTTTAAAGATATGACATAAATGCTTGTGCTTCAAGGTGACTGGACTCTCATTTAATTTTTGGTTTGTACCACGTGAACTTGTGTTTAGTATTTCATTACAGGACCTAACAACATCACACACACACATATAATATATATATATATATATATACTCACGTAACCTAAACTCTTATTCTAATTAATAGGTTAGATTTGCCACTGTAGAGATGATTTTTGTCTAACAGTAGAATGGAAAATTTCAAAGACATCTCAATGAACAGGCTGAGTAAAATACGTAAATAAATTTGAAACATTCAACCCAGAATCGTACCCAACTTTCTTATTCTTACCAACGTGACCCTGGAAGATTTCCTCACTCTCTTGTTAGTCCAATAATGTTTCTTAACTTTAATTTATATATATATATATATATATATATATATATATATATATTGTCAATTAAAAAACCAGAATCAACACACACACATATATATATATTGTCAATTAAAAAATTAAAACTAACAACATTTGAATTTTGGTAGAGACTAACTTTATAATTTCTAAATATACAAGAAAACCAAATTTGTCCAAAATAGAAATATAAATTTGTCTAAAAGAAGATACAACAAAAATCTCAAATAAATATAGTTTTATAGTTGGAATCTATAATTCCAATAATCTCCACTATAGCCCTGCACATTTATGTGAGTAGTAGCACCATAAATCATCCACCAAGTGTCCTTAGGTACAAAAGCCAAATTAACTTAAAAACAAACTAGTGCAAGAAATTTACAATGCTTTACGTGCCATTTGGCGTACATGAGACACTATCTTTTCATGTTTGTCGACTTGTGAATTAATTTCTTTGTTCAAAGACCAGAAATTAATGTTCTACTAGGTATCTTGTGATGAGTTTATTATGTTAATTATTTTCACACGTCTTATTATATACTATCTTTGTTCTATTATAATAGTCATTTAAGGTTGTTTTATACAAATCAAGAAACATAATAAATTTTTCTATTTTTCATAGAATGATTTTAATGTTTTCTATTATACCCTCTTTCATTTTTTTAATAATAAATGTATATTAGTTGTCACGTGTAAATTAGTTAAAACTTAAGTGAGATGTAACGGTATAATTAATAACATGACAATTAATGTTGTCTTGAAGTTTGAAAATGATAAGTAGAAACAAAATTTTACTAAAAATTTGACAAATAAAAAAGAATGTAGGAAATACTTGATATAACTTGCTTATTGAAATTTTGAACATAATTTTAATTTTCGTTCTTTTAGTTTCTATTGCTAGTGTTGTAAATAATTATGCTCAAGTAAACAATACCCCAATGGTGAATGAGACAGGTTTTAAGGTTTGGAAGGAAGTCGTAGAAATAATTCTTGGCAGGTCCAACACTTCTCAAACCGAGAAACCCACTCCTAATCTAGGAAACTTTGATTAAGTTAAAATTGAGAAGTAGAAACACTCACTACAACAAAATTTATTATTAACAACAATTATTTAATGGTAATAATTTAATTGCCGTTATATATAAAAATATTAATGGTTAATATATAATAGTCACTAAAAATGTATTTATATTACACTAAAGTTTACTATTAGCGACAATTATTTATTAGAAAAAACTTAAATCTCACATCGATTAGAGATAAGATAATTAAATAGTATATAAGTGAGTAATAACTATCACTTTACAGGTTCATTTTATAGGGTTGACTCCTAATTCACTATTCTAAATTGGTATCAAATTACCCATTATTACCAAATTCAATAGTGTTATAAAATAATTAGATAGCAACTTTCACCTTATAAATCTCACATTCTTAAGAGACAAGACAATTAAAAAAAAAATTAAAAAATATATAAATAAAAGACAATCCTCATCTTATAAATTTCACATCGAATAGAGATAAAAAAAAGTATATAAGTTATGAATTTAGAAAAGGAAAATATAGGAATAAATTATTTAAAGTAAAGGAGACAATTGAAAAAAATAACTTTTAATAGCTTTTAAAATAGCTACTAGAATTGCCACTAAAAAAATAAGTTTTTCCGACAATTTAGTAAATCTTTACCAGCATTTTATATAAATGCCGGTAATGATATTAGCGACACTGGATATACCAGCCTTTATTTAAATGCTGGTAAAAAAAAATAATGACTATTTATATAGCCGGTAAATAATAAATTAATTACCACAAAAAAATAATTTTGGTGTAGTAACTTTAGCCAAATGTATACGATGATCATGAAAAACTATTTTCCAAAAGAGTTTTGGGCCCTATTTTTGAGAGTCTGTGTGGAAATTGAGAACATTAAGCAATACTTTGCCAAAAATGAAAAGGTAGAGACAAGTAACCTCTTTTGCTAAACTCATCTCTCCATGAAGTACAAAGGCAACATAAGAAAGTATATTATGGAGATGTCTAATTTTATGTCAAAACTCAAGTTATTTAAGTTAGAACTTGGTGAGAACTTGCTTCTGCACTTGATTTGATCTCATTTCCTTCACACTTTGGACAAATGACCCCTCAATGAACTTATCTCACTAAGTGCGAGAGAAAGAGAAGCTTCAAAGAGATAAAATTAAAAGTGCTTACTTGGCTTTGATCTCTTAGAATAACAAAAGGAATGAAACCCTTCCTCAAAACGTTATTTTTATTCATTTTCTTATTGTACGAGGCCAAAGCCAAGTAAACACATTCAGTCTTATATCTATGCAACCTTTCTTCCTTTTACTCACAATGAGATATAAGCTCGTTGAGGGACCATTTGTTCTTCTATGTGTTATAACTCACTTTGAATTGTTCAAAGTGTGCAGGAAGTGAGATCAAAACCAAGTGTACGAGTAGGTCTTTACCAAGTTCTAAGTTAAATGACTTGAGTTTTGTTGTAAGAGTAGACATCCCCATAATGTACTTCCTTATGTTCTCTTTGTCTTTGTACTTCATGGAGATGAATTTAGCCAAAAGGTTACCTGTCTCTTTGCCTTTTCATTTTGGGAACATATTGCTCAATTTTCTCAAGAATCCTCCTTGCACGATGACTCTTAGCAATAAAGCCTCGAAACACTTTAGGAAAAGAGTGCTTCATGATCGTCAAGCACATTGAATTAATGTGTTTACACTTTTTTTTATTTTAATTTTGAAAGAATTTTCAAGAGTAATAGTTAGTTTCTCTATCTAAAATGTCAAATTCAAATCCATACAATAAGGAATTATTTATACAACTTCCTTGTAGTCATTAAAATCTGTCCCATTAAATATTGAGATATTGTTCAATTGTGTAGAAACATTGACATCACTATCAATGGAAACTAAAAAGAACATTTGTTCACAAATGAACAAGTAAGTCATATAAAATATATAACGACATGTGCAAATAATTAACATAATAGGCTACTTAGAAGATACCTAACAATAATAATTTTGTCTTTGGGTGAAAATTAGTTTGAAGTGTTACACTGCTCAATAACTTTATATTAAATGTAAATTTTGTAAATCTAACCGTTAGATTGAAAGTTCATATCACTTCATATGTGTATATCAATTTTTTTTAAAATTGAACAACAACTTGAAGGTAATCAAAATATTCATATTTTAGTATATTTTGAAATGAATATATTACGTTAATTTTATTTTATAAGAATGAAATATCAAATCATCTTAAATTAATATAAAATTTTGTATATATGAACTAAGAGTAAAGAACTTTTAATTTAATGGTTGAATTTACAAAATTCATATTTAATATAAAGTTATTGAGCGATATAATACTTGGTAAAAGTTACACTAGTATTATTATAACCTCCTCTATATATAAATATAATACACAATAAAGTAACGCCACGTACATAGTATTATATAAAAAAAAAATCTACTGATTTATATGAAAAGGGATGGCCAATAATTCTTTTACGGGGAAAGAATTAAACCAAAGGTCCTATAAGACAAAAGATATTGAAGGTTAAAAATTCAGAATGCTTTTGTCCTTTTATCAATTCAAGTATAAGAAATTCACTTTCAAAATCGTAGACCATATTCACGAATATTTGCAATCTCCAATAATCAATGTTTAATACACTGGATCTATGTGTATCTAGAGCGATACATAAACGCAAATGACGCAAATCAGAGAAGCAATGTTCAGATCCATAAATCGAATGCAACATGTATTTGAAAGGGAAAAATACAACAAAACTATAAGACTATAATATAAAGGATTACTGGTTTAGTGGGCAAATATTAGTTTATTTATCAATACAATAATTTCCCAAAATTAAATTAAGGTACCAAATTGAAAATATAATCTAAATCGACCCAGACATCATATGAATAAAAAAGTACCACTTTTTAGAATTCGAATGATCTTCAATAAAATATCAAATAAGCACAAAGCCCATTACATCATATTAATATCAGGGTTCATAAGTTATAAGAAATACCTGGATCTAAATGGCAGTAGAATCACAAACAATTGTATATAATGGTCACGGTCATGGTCTTCCTCGTCCAAATCATCGGAATTCCTTAAATAAAACTTGATGTTTCCCTTCCCATGAAGAGAATGAGAGACATAATTCTGATTTAGTGTTTTGGGAACGTAGAAGGTTTCAACCTATTAGATTTCTTGTTATCCTCACAAATACATCACTTATCTGAGCCCATCTAAAATTAAGTATCTACTATATAAATGTTATAATAATATGTAACACACGTTAATAATGATAAAAAAATGGAACCCGTGTGAATTAATTTGGAAGTATAAAATTCGTAACAGTGAATATATAACTTAAACTTAGTGGTCCATCAAGAGTTTCCTATTAGATAAGACCTGAAATCGATTCTGACTTTTCTTGTTTAGTGAATATATAACTTAAACTTAGTGGTCCCACAAGAGTTTCTAATTAGATAAGACCTGAAATTGAATCCGACTTTTCTTATTTTATATTTTTTCATTTGAACTTGTGTCGGAGATTTTACCCTTATCTTAGCTTTTATGTACCAAAAAAAAGAGTTAAACATGGGCAAATGTGATGATTAATGATTTATTACAGGGACAGAGGCTCTTTTTGCGGACCTAGCACACTTTCCAGTCTCTTCTGTACAGCTTGCATTTACTCTGTTAGTGTTTCCTTGCCTTCTTTTAGCATACTCTGGACAGGCTGCTTACCTTATGCATAACTTGGAGCATTCAAGTGATGCCTTTTATCGTTCTATTCCAGGTTTGTTGCATTTGTCACACACTATGTTGAAATTTCCATTTCTGATACATCTGTGGTTTTTTAGAATGTGATCACCAACCATATTGCTATATTCTTATTACAAACTTCGTGGTGGAACTTTCACTTTTCTTCTCTTTTGGATATTTTATGTTGACTAATGTTAAGATGTTATAAGAATATAAAAATTCGCAAAAATTATTTTTTCAGTTCAAATTTCTTGAAGACTTGCTTTGGTCTAGATATACTAAGCTACATGTTATAGGTCTGTTTGAATAAATTATCTAGAAACACTTCTTGGAGAAAAAAATGAGAAAAAAATTTGAAATAAATTTTTCTATAAGTGCTAAAACTAGTTTATACATAAGTTAAAAATAAGATTTTAGAGAAGCTAATAGAAGAAAATTATTACAAATTAGTTTAAGCTTAAGTTAATTTTAATTTATGAAAAATATTAATTATTTTTCTTTTCTATTTTTTTTTTCTCGTAGAAGTCTTTCTAGAAAAGTTTACCAATAATAAATATCTTCATGGCCATTGGGCAAGTTAGGCAAGCCAGTTTTTATTGTAAATTCTTTTATTGGCATACCTTGTACCTTGATCTTGATGCAAAATCTTTCATCGGATCATCATTTGGACTTGTTTGGCTCACTGCTTAATTTTGCATTTCTTAGAATGATTCATTGGTTCTTCATGTAGTAAATTTTTATCCTTTAGATGTTGATAATCCATAGTTCTGCAGACAAAATATACTGGCCAGTATTTGTTGTTGCGACAGCAGCAGCTATAGTTGCAAGCCAGGCCACAATATCCGCAACCTTCTCAATCATTAAGCAGGCCAATGCTCATGGCTGTTTCCCAAGAATAAAAGTTGTACATACATCAAGGAAGTTCCTTGGCCAGATATACATTCCAGATATCAATTGGATCCTTATGATTCTATGCATTGCTGTTACTGCTGGGTTTAAAAACCAAAGTCAGATTGGAAATGCATATGGTAAGTTATTCTTCCCTTGTTGAATGTTTAGGCATGCTTTTTCATGTTTCTTTTATAAGAAAAAGAATTGACTAGAAAGGAGATGGAAAGTACAGCTTCTAGGATGATATATTAATTATTTAGAAAGAGCATAGTACATAGAGTGAAAAGAAATTAATAAATTGCAGCAAAGGATCCAATCAGTACTACATGAAAGGAATTCTCATTCCATACTTTTTTACATCTATCAGAGTTATAGGATATTAGCATTACTAAAATTGATTACATCTATCAGAGTTATAGGATATTAGCATTACTAAAATTGACTATGTATAAATCACATTTGTACTTGTATAATTTGATTTTTCTCATTTGAGTAAATTCAAATTTTAGCTTTATCACTTTTCTCTCTTTTCTTCCCTCTGAACTAAATTCTAACAACATCAAAGGGTGTAAGAAGTACAAGTACTACATATGCAGCTTAGGAAACTATTATTTATGCTTGTTTAATGCTATTCCTCTTATTTGTTATTGCAGTCTTTTTTTAAAGTGTGCTCACAATTATAATTTTCATTGTGATGACAGGTACTGCTGTTGTGCTAGTTATGTTGGTTACAACATTGCTTATGATTTTAATCATGATATTAGTGTGGCGCTGCCATTGGATTCTGGTGGTGGTGTTCACTGGCTTATCACTGATTGTGGAATGCACATACTTCTCTGCTGTACTCTTCAAAGTTGATCAAGGTGGATGGGCTCCTCTTGCAATTGCTGGAGCATTTCTTGTAATTATGTATGTTTGGCATTATGGCACAGTGAAACGCTATGAGTTTGAAATGCATAGTAAGGTCTCAATGGCATGGATTCTTGGGCTAGGACCAAGTTTAGGACTTGTTCGTGTCCCGGGAATTGGATTAGTATACACAGAGCTTGCAAGTGGAGTACCACACATCTTTTCTCACTTCATCACAAACCTACCAGCCATCCATTCTGTTGTTGTATTTGTGTGTGTGAAGTATCTTCCTGTCTACACTGTCCCAGAAGATGAGAGGTTCCTTGTGAAGCGGATTGGACCTAAGAACTTCCACATGTTTCGATGCGTGGCGCGATATGGATACAAAGATTTGCACAAGAAAGATGATGATTTTGAGAAGAAACTTTTTCATAGCCTCTTTGTGTTTGTTAAGCTTGAGTCTATGATGGAGAGTTGCTCAGACTCAGATGACTATAGTTTATATGAAGAGGAAAATGAGCACTCAAGAGTAGGCCTATTGAACAATAATGTGAACACAGCTTCATTGAATATGGATCCAACAGTTTCATCAGCAGATTCAATAGTATCAGTTACATCTCCATCACACATGAATGCTGTTACCACTATTCAATCATATGGCCATGTTAGCAGCCACACTGAGGTGGATGAAGTTGAGTTTTTGAACAACTGTAGGGATGCTGGGGTGGTTCACATACTAGGAAACACAGTTGTCAGGGCCAGGAGGGATTCAAGATTCTACAATAAGATAGCTGTTGATTATATATATGCATTTCTTAGGAAAATATGCAGGGAACATAGTGTGATCTTCAACGTTCCTCATGAGAGTCTCTTAAATGTTGGTCAGGTTTTCTATGTATAGCCTTTCTCTCCCCCTTCTCTTGTGTGAGCATTGAATTATTTGTAGGCACATCAATCGAAAGCATGTAAAAATAGTTAATAATAATAAAATCTGTATTGAAATCTGTTAAAATTAATTTAATGTTATTCAAAGGCTTTAATTTGATTGTTTGAGTTTATAAATATTGTGATCACACAAGAATTGTTTTTCTTTGGCCCTAGATCAGTAAGATTTATCTTTTGTATATGTAATTTTATGCACAGTTGAGTGTAGTGTAGCATACGAAGCACCCCTTATGCTATGTACCCATTAAAAATGAATGTCTTCTGAAAAATGACTTTGGGTAATTTGTGTTGAAACCTGAAATTCATTATTCATTTGATGTTAATGCATCTCTAGATTAGAAATTCTGTTGGTTATGAGAAAGAGAGGGAAGAGATTTTAATTAAGGCAGTTTTTTTTAAAGAGATTTTAAAAATTACTTTACTTTTGTATCACTATAATTTTAAATTAAAAAAATTATAAGTAATAATATTTTAGATATTATACATATTTTGACTTTCTTTCTTATTCTTCAAATCTTTCCATTATCAAAGAGGAGTTGAACTTAAGATGAGAAAGGTCTTTCCCCTTCTATTTCCCTTCCCTTCTAAAATTTTAATCAAATAAAATTTTCTCTCTTATTTTACTTTCAACCAAATATTATGTAAAAGTGAAAGTGAGAAAAGGAGAGGTTCAATAAAATTTTCAACATTAGTGAGAAAATGAGAGGTTCAATAAAATTTTCAACATTAGTTGTATTTAACTTATTTATAAAATCACTTTTTAAGTTGCTTTACACAAAATTATTGTTATTGTACTGGCAAGGCCTTTCGGCCACCATTTGACCGATACCCGATCGGCATCTAAAGGGCCGAACCAGGTTGCCGACATCCAATCGGCACCCAAAGGGCCGAACCAGGTTGCCGACGGCTGATCAGCCATTGGATACCTAGTGAATGTGAATTATCATTAATCAAGGGACAAGAGTCATCCTTAATCAAGGGTTAAGAGTTAATCTCACTAATAAGCCGATTAGAGGCGTATTACCTAATATGGTAATCTTGTGCAGGGCCTATGGGAATCCGGGCCCATAAGGGTCAATATAAATAGCTCATGTCACAAGGTAACGTCACTGTTCATTAATTGCTATCGATATTTGTGCTTTGTCCTGACTTGAGCATCGGAGTGCCTTTTGCAGGTACCTCCCCCTCACCGGAGTATTTAATCGGAGCTCTCGTTCGGCCCTCAGAACACGAGAAGATTATTAGTGTACCCTTCGGCAGGTACATTTTGGCGCCCACCGTGGGGCCGAACCGAGATACTTGTGAAGTTCGACGAACAAGGCAATGACGAAGACAAGGAGAATGAACACAGAAAATCACCAAACCGAGGAGGAGGAACACATAGAAGTTGAAGACGAAACTAATCTCTCCGAGGCCGTGCGTCTGCTCAGGCAAGAGATGGCCGCAATGAAACAATAGCGGGAGAGGGATGCAAAGGAACTTTCGGCCTTGAGAGCTGAGAACGAGGCGTTAAAAAATCAGGATCCCTCATGGAAACCTACCCAGCCCACCAATACTCAAACACAAGGATCCTATCACTCTCATGACTTCCGGACCTCGGCCCTTCATGCTTCGGCTGCTGCACCTGAAAAGTTCCAGTCGGCCCTTCCTACTGTTGGACGTCCAACCGACGTAGCAACAGTGGGATCACACCGACACCCGTTTACACCGTCTATCATGCAGTTACCTTTGATGGATAATTGGAAGTCTTTGCCGATTGATAAATATGACGGTACAACTGACCCTGATGAGCACCTTGATGTTTTTCTCACGCAGGTGACCTTGAGCACCACGGATGATGCGACTTTGTGTCGGATCTTTCCAACGTCTCTCAAAGGCAGGGCTTTGAGTTGGTTCACTCGGCTACCTCCTAACTCAATCGACTCATTCAACACCTTGTCATCACAGTTTACCATCCAGTTCGCAACGAGCCGTCCCCACAGTTTGACCTCTCTTTCATTGGTAAGCCTTCGGCAGGACAAGAAGGAATCCCTTCGGACCTTCATGGATCGTTTTAACAAAACAGCATTGGAAATCAGAGACCTCAACCCTACCGTAGCACTCCATCACCTCACAACGGCACTAAAGCCAGGGCCGTTCGTTAATAGCATTTGTAAAAAACCTCCTTCGGACATGAACGACTTACGAAGGAGAGCCGACAAGTATATGCAAATGGAAGAGTTGGCCGAATACCGCAGTCAGGCCCGTGCCGAATCAGGGGGCAAGGCTAAAAAGCAATCGGAACCACCATTCAGGGAGAAAGGCAAAGAAATAACACTGCGAGACCGATCCACTCGAGGTCTGAAATACTCTCATTACACCCCCCTGAACATTAGAGGTGTGGAAATAAATGCTTCGAATGAATTCATTGTGAGCATTTGAAAGTTGAAGAATTATTGATAGAACTTGTAATAATTTCTTTGATTTTTTTCGTAAAAAATATTCTTGTAGTATTGTAACGTAGTTAAAAAAAATATAGGTGATTTAGTAGTCCAGAACGGGTCGCTCCCAATCTGGAACGAGCTGTTCCAAGCTATTAAATTGACCTGTAAATTGTGGTTGAGAACGGGCTGTTCTGGAGGGAGAACGGGCCGTTCCAACCGTTCTGGTTGGAGAATGGGTCGTTCTGGTTGGAGTACGAGTCGTTCTGGATGGAGCACGGACCGTTCTGGATGAGTCCCAAAACGGGCCGTTCTGATTTCAGAACGGGCCGTTCTGCATGTGATTTTTGCCCATGATAAAGGGATGCAGAACGACCTGTTCCGGAATCGGAACAGTTCGTTCTGGCCACTCCGGAACTTCTATAAATAGGGGTTAGGGGCAGCTGAGGAGAATGAGTTTTTAGGGAGTAGTTTTAGAGAGAAGGATTCTGGGTCTGTGAGCTCCTTTCTCTCCCAAATTTTCTCTGTATGATTCCTTTTCTCTGTATGATTCCTTTTCTCCTCCAGATCACTAATGTCTTCTGTCTTTCCTTGAAATTCAAATTAGGAAGCTTACTTTGGAAGGATTGAAGTTCCGGGTTGAGCTTCGGAAGGCAATTCTACTTCTTCTCAGTTATTGGCTATTTTGAGTCAATCTTCAGGTGAGGGAAGCTAGAATGTTTGTTGTTTAGGTTGCATGTGAGTTTAGAAACTCAATAGGTGCATGAATGTTGAGAATCCATAAATGGATTGAAGAAAATCTCATTTTTGGGGTTTTGAGAAAAAGAGAGGATTTTGATGATTTCGATGCATAGGTTGGATGCGTGTGATATTTAAGTTTATTTTGAGTTGTATGGAGCCTATGCATTGTGTTTTGTGTTTGCATGTGGCGGAATTTGTTAGTTTGGGTTGAGAGTTTTGAACTCTCTAACTGGGATTTAGGCCAGGCACAGGTTGAGCGCGCTAGGCGTGGAAGAGCTTAGGGCTCTAGGGTTGGATGTTGGACCAGGCGTGATTTGGTTGCGTCAGGCGTGGAAACTCTTAGGAGTCTCTATCTCAAGGACACCGAGCGTGAGTTGAACGGGCCGGGTGTGGAAGAGTTTTAGGACTCTTAGATTAGGATTAGGCTAGGCGAGCTCAGGCTGCGCCGAGCGTGAATATGTTTATAAATAATTGATTTAAATTGATGCTTATGCTTGTTTAAAGTTGAAATTTTAGATCATGTATGTATGATATATGATGTATAGTGCGGTGTGATTCATATGTATGCTTTGTGATGATACGTATGAATGTTTGAATATGATATGACATGTGTATATGTTCATATGGGTATGTTTATTGATCATAATGGTGGTAGACCATGTATGATGTATGATGCATTATTGCATGTGATGCCTTATGGCATGAGTCTAGCCTAGGACTTGAGGAGAGGAAAAATATTTTCAAACTGGAAGAGCTCACATAGAGTCTCTTGAGAGTGGTGCTTGGATAGGCCACTCTGGATCTGTACGTTATGTGTTAATTTCTCATCTTAGAATGACCCGTTCTGAAACCAGAACGGTCCGTTCTACAATTAAGTTTTAACTCAACTGCCATGTTGGAACAACCCATTCCAAACTAGGGTTTTAGGCCTTTTTAGTGGATTGGAACGACCCGTTCCAGTTTTAGAACGGCCCGTTCCAGTTTTAGAACAAGTCATTCTAGCTTGAGAACAGCCTGTTCCAGTTTGGGAACGGGTCGTTCCATTTTGGGAACAACCCGTTTTGGGCTACTAAGTCACCCTTTGTTAGGGTTTATGCTTTTTGATGTCATATCCTATTGTTTCCATGCTTTGGGAGCTCCTTTCCTTGATAATAGACGTCCATTTCATTGCTTTTGTGGGTCCGAACAAAATTGGGTGTCTACAAGGAATAAGGGAGAAACTACTTCTCACTTATTCTTTGAGTGTGAGGTTTCTTTTCAGCTCTACATGACGTGCTTTAATTGGTTAGGATTAAATTTTGTTATGAATAATTGTTGTGTTCAAAACTTGGAACAATTTTATGGGCTTCGTTATTGTTATGCAAAGTACCATAATTGTTGGATTCTTATCTGGTTATATGTTATCTTGACAATCTAGTTAGCTAGAAACGATCTCATATTCAACTTTAAAATAATTCTTATTTTTGAAATTCTAAATCTGGTGCAATTATGTTCATGGAGATAGTTAAGGGCCAGATTCCCCCCTTTTAATTATGTTTCTTTCCTTGGTCCAATTCTCCTGGTGCTTGTCTATCTTAATATTGTACATTGGTTGTTAGCTTTCTGTCTCACTAGTTTGGTGTTACTCATTTGTGAGGATTGCTATTTATCATCCCATTTTATTAGTACTATAGTGTTTGAGATATGGGAAGCTTGTTGGGTATAGGATAATTAAGCCACCTATTTTGGAAGTTTTGGTTTTTGGTTGACGTAGAATGTGTTAAGTTAGACGAAGCGCATTCGCAATTCCCACCAATGTTTTGAATATGAAAAATATAATACATATTGTTATTACTAACATGTGTATTAGTGTTTCAGTCGGATAACGAAAAGTCCAAACAGTAGAATATGTTCAAGCATAATCTGGCTTGACAAAATATCAGACAATAGAAAGGTCAGCATCAAGACTAAGGTTGATTCAAGCAAAAATCAAGATGCAAAGTCTATCAGCAGAAGCCTGAGGCATCAGACGCAAAATTAGCCAAGACATCGACATGAAGTGACCATTAGAAAGAACCAATGTAAACAAGAAGACGAAGTTATCTGATGGAGGCCCATGGGCCAAGGGTCCAACTACTAGGGCTATGGCCAAGAGGATACATGAGGAATGGGCCAGTGCTAAAGAAAAACCCACAGTACTTTTTAGTTGGGCCACAACCCAAGTAGAGTAGGTTTTTGTTGTATTTTGGGCCTTGTATTTTGGGCCAAGTAGAATAGGTTTTTTGTTCTTGTAATTTTCAGCCATTCTAGGTTTAGGATAGTTAATCACATGTGCAAGACCATTTACATGTCATTTAGTATGCATTTAGGATACATTTGAGCCATGTGGACCGGCCTAGTGGGAGGCGCACATGGCATGCTTCAAATGCCATCCAAATACACACCAAATGACATGCTAATGACAAGCACATGGCCGGACTCCAAACTTTGAATTTGAAATTCAAATTTTGGCGCCTAAGGTCAATTTAAACCATGTCATTGTTTAAATTAACCCTAGGTTAAGTCTAGCTTGTCACACACACTATCTAGGTCTATATATTTGATTTTGGCTGGATCATGTAATACTTTTGGCATTTATGAGAAAAATTCTTCTTAGAATTCCTATTCTCTCCACCGAAAGTCACCTTAGGAGAAAACCTTTCTCCTAGTCTCCTTGAGCCTTTCTCTTTGTAGATTTAGGAATCCTTTTCTACTAGAGACTCTTGGTTCATTCTCGGCTAACATTGCTTTTTCAAGTTGCATCCATTCCTTGCATTCATCTCAAGGAACCGTGGAGGAGTTAGCATTCAAGTTCATGGAGTATTCCTCATGAAGGCTCCATCAAGTGGTATCTAGAGCATGGTTCATAAAGAAATAAGTTTCTAATCTTTTGGTGATTGTTTTCTTTTCTTTGATCCGTTCATTTTTGTTTGATTTGTCCTGATTGAAGTTTCTTCACTAGATCTAATTTCTTTCATTCAAATTTGATAGATCTAGTTTTGGTTTGCTTCTATGATTCATAATTTTCATGTTCTTATTGCTACCCTATGAATCATACTTCTAAATGTGCTTTAGGATTCAGCTTGTGTGCTTTTTAATATTTTGAGTCTTGTTTCATTTTTCGGTCATATGCAAGAGTCTTGAGTCTTTTTGAATTTTTGAATCTTTTTCAATATGTCCAGGGTCATGTTTAGTCATTTGAATGTCTAATCTTCTTAACTATGCTTGTTTGACCAAATTTTTATTTGATCTTGCATAAACAAATTGGAATTGATCGAATCCTACTTGTGTTTTGGTGCTTTTAATTTTGTACACAATTTGAGTTCATGAATTACTATTAGTTCATTAGTAATTCTCTTAGAATTAGGCTTCCATTGTGTCAACTTGTCTTTTTCTTTTCTTTTGAAAGTTCGTATTGAATTCTTGAAAAGTGTTTGATATTAGTTGCTAGAAATTTGATTTGAAATTTGAATTCAAAATTTGAAAAGAAACCGTGGCACATGGAGTGAATTGTGCACATGAGAAAAGCATGACCTATTTGCATGACATTTAAAAGCAATTTACATTACATTTGCTTTTCAAAATTCAAAATGAAAACCGGATTGGTGCCTAGGTTATTTGTGTGACCGAGATCTATACATTGAATTTCAAAGAAGAAAAGGCATCTCCTAAAACAATACAAAAGAGAACAAAAGAAATACAAGAAGAATATACAAAGATATAAAAAATATATATATACAACAAAAGTCAAAAGCCAAAAAGGAGATTAGATTTTTTTGGTTACATTCGGTCAAGTGTGGATTGGTGTTGAAGTTTTTGAATTCTTGATTCACTTGTATACTTGATTGATTCCTTTTTGATTTGTCACCAAGTATACAAATTGAACTTTGGAGGGACGTGAGCTACTAAAAGCCACTTAATAACCAAGCTTCTTCAAGTAAAAATTACTAATCCCCCTTATAGTTAATCTTTACCAAAAATAATTTTATTGAAAAGAAATTTTTGTGTTCTTTTGTGCTAGTGAACTATCTAGACGTTCATGAAATCAATTGCAATTTAAATGACAAATTTAAAGGCTATCTAAACGAATCCCTAAGGTGAAAGCTTGAGAGGTACCAAAGACCTTCAAGGACCACTTTTACCAAGTACTAGCGCAAGCTACAAGTCCTATGGAGAGATGGTTGTGTACCTAAGACACTTCCAAGACACTCCAATTCTCCAATTACAATCAAATAACACAAA